CATTTACAATTAATTTCTATAATTGTCAAAGTGCCAGGAAAAACCTTTCGATCATTTATTCATAACTGAGCATAAGGAATCATTTCTGAGATACAGGAACACACCACGCAGTGTTGAGAGGCGACCATCACTCCCTAACTTCAGTTTAATTACACTAACTGCTAATTTAGATGAAAATCTGGTATCTGACTCACGCTTTGTGACTTTCTGAACATATGGATGGTTGGTAGAACACCGCATGGGGGAGTGGTTTTTAAATATCTATAATTCAATTACTAGAAATGAGAAGCAGTGTACGAGAGAGGGGTTATTTTACTTGTACTCATTGGTGTTGCAATGTATTCTGTGAGATTTCCCACCAGGTATTTGTTCACATAATCTACTATTACATTATTTCGGTCTGATTTTAGTACTTTCATTTAGGGCTGCACAATATGAGGAAAATATGTAATGTATAATAACATTGGTGAATATCACATTATAACTTCTGCTGAATACAAATATATTAAAAGTGTACACAGTTCTGCCTTTCTGCTGCTATACTAGTATACTGCTAAAACACAAAAACAATCTCTTTTGGAACAAATTGAACACAAATTCCACCATTAAAAAAAGAATCATAAGTAACATTTTAGTGTAGCAATGTATCTCAAAATGTTTTCAACCAAAATGCATTACATGAGTAGCTACAGCTTTTTTGTTATATTTCACCATTGCATATGTGTATGTACAATAAGATCTAATGTAAATGAGTCAGATATGCCAAACAAACCTAGCCAATAAAGAGGATTCTGAATTAAAACATACTGTGTTTTGAATACTCCATTGTGACCCCCATAAAATGTAGGGTAACAAATTGTTAGCTTAGTTGTTGGCTATCAAAATGGTAAGCTATCAACTGTATTTATAGTGAATGTGTAATGATTGCATTACTCCTCGCGTTGCGTTCAAGGGTCAAAAGTGGACTTAGTTGACCAAGACACAATAATATGGACAAAGTGCAAGTTTTATAACAAGAGCTATAATACAAGTTTACTTTATTAACTTACTTCTAGAATGACTGTCTCAAACTACTGAACACCATGTTTGCTAATGTTGACAGTGCAACTTAGCTAGCTGATTGAATGCTAAAGCAGAGGAAAACTATGCTTTTACACTCAAATATGTAAAAGTCTGTTAACGCAGAGGTAAACTATTTAATGTATCTAATATGACATGTAACTGCCAGGTGCACAAACGACGTAAAGTGCATGTGGTAAACTTGAATCGTGTTAAAAATAAATGTACCTGGTCGAAACGAGGCTTGCCATGTTGAAATGTCTCATATTCAGACATGTTGCAGTTTTAACACACAGGTGTATCTTTTTCTTCTTTTCGATAATAATTCAAACAGTTTCACCAACACTTCATGAACCTGTAGCTGCTGCAGGGCTGAGCAGTTAATATCCAGCTGTTCAGTGGCCATGTTGCATGATGGGAAATGTAGTTTTCCAGGGTGATTTGCTCAGGAAGGATTTCGTTTTAACCGTTTGTTAGCGGACTACACTTCCCAGGATACATGCTTTGTTTACGGTGACTTAATAAGGAAGTTAACGGGGTGAAAGTTTAATATCAGAGTGTAAAGTACAGCAAATACTAAAAAGAGAAATCTGGTGGTATCATTGAAGGAAGGTTTTTGAGTTTAGAGTATAACATAGCCCTCTAGTGGTGGTTTTGTAAAAAAAAAAAAGTCAGAAGCAATGATCAAAGATTTTGGAAAGGAAGGAAGGAAAACATTCACATTATTCTTTTATTTTTGATTGTTTCTTCTCACTGAAGAACTGAACATAAATATAACTATAGGGATTGTATTTATTTAAATAAAACATGTGTTAAACACCAATGGAGCTAGATATATCACTTTTGATATGACTATATGTTTTTTTGTTTGTTATTAATGTCTCCCTTGTTTGCATTGTATTTCTTTAACATTGACTATTAATTTTTACATAAATAATAAATACAATATTGAATATACAATTGGTACCATGGGCGTCACTTTGTGAAGCAGTGAAGAAAACTATTTCTCCAGATTTAAAGGTGGGGTAGGTAATTTTGGAGAAACCAGCTCGAGATCGCTAGAATTTGAAAATACACGACCGGAGAAAATCTGCCACTTCCTTACAGAGCCCCTCCAACACACACGAACGCGCACATGACCAATGAGGGCACGAGATAAGTGTGTGCACAAATGGAAGGCTGACAGGCAGGTCGGCCATCCAGTTATTTTAGCCGAGCCGGCTAAAATGATTGGTCGTTACTTTTACAGTATTACGGCTTCCACAGATGACATTTAATAGATTTTTGTCAAAGCACTTAAGATATTCATTGCTATCGGGATGTTAAGAGCATTCCATGGAATATAACAAAAAGTGTATCTCGAGCCGGTTTCTCAAACTTACCTACCCCACCTTTAACATCAGCATAGCAGAAGACAAAAGATGGTTGGTGGTTTGATTCCCAGCATGGCGGAGTGAATTTTGGAGAGACATGTTTTAAACAAATGTACGTGTCTGCTTTGCTTCTTTAGTTCGCAGTTGAGATATTGTAACGGGTTTTGTTAAAAAGCAACACAGATGATGATCTTTAGATGTAGAAACCAACATGTTAAGATTTTGATGAAACCTCTACAGGTGGCCTTGTTAAATGGATGTCTAGAAACCTGAAGGTCTGTGTTTGGATTCCATCTCAATCTAATGGAACTAACGAGGCTGTGGTAATTGTGTGGTGGGGACAAAATTGGCCATTTCAAAAAGTGGTGGGGACAAGCGTCCCCAGCGCAAATGATGACTGTGATTGGTACAATGTGTACATTTTAAAATCTAGGGTTTGACAATAGATAAATAAATACAAAATATATAAGTTATTCCATGAAACCAAAAGACCGACATGAAAAGCAAACAAGCAGCTACTGACTTTAGCTATTGACTAAATATTTATAAACATTTATTTTTGCTAATAAGAAAAATGCTGAACATAATCTAGGTTTTTTTTACCTAATGACAGCCAAATAGAAAATGGAGCTAGTTATCTTAAATAAACAGAGAACCACCCTGTAAACCAAGATTATAATCAGCTCAGTGGAAAAAACAAACAAATACACCCCAAATAAAGATTTACAACCAAACATACGGTGAGCAAGAAACACAAAATATTCTTTATTAAATATACAAAATTTGTGAAACAGAATTGCATCACGAATTGTAAACTTTCCAATCTCAAATATTACCTTAAGAACATTCCACCGGCTACACACTCAAAAGGACAAAAATACAATCAGTTGAAACTTAAATTAAAATGGAAGACATGGGAAGAGGACGTTATTCTTGCGCTTCATAAGTGCAGAGTCACATTTTTTAATATGTCTCTACAGTCATCTGCACACTTCCTATTGCGATCACACAGGAGAACTGAGATGACCAGAGACGGTTTTTGGATGTTTTTTTTGTTGCTTGAAGCTCAGTGGCAAAAATCAAGGATGTGGGTGTCAAATTGGCCTAGTGCTTAAATCACAGAGCGATTAGAAAGTGCAGTATGGTGTAAAGTAGATCTAACTATACCGATATCAACAGACAGGTACAGTAATGTTCTGACGATTAAGTAGTGCAAGAACATCCATAAACGCTGTTAAACGTGGCATCATATCAGAATACTTTATGGTGTCTCAATCTGCTCTATAGATTTAGTTTCAAGGCTTTTTTTTGGTATTACACAGAAAAATCTGCTCATTTTCTATTCGTATGCATACAATTTAATATTGTGCAGTGATCTAAACAATATTGTAACAAAGCATTAACAGAAGTAAAACAAAAAAAGCTAACAGTCAGTGAACAGATGGCTTATCTTCTTCAAAACCTGCCTCAAATGAAGTGCTAGATTTTCAAAACAGAACAAAAATAAGGCAGCATTTGGCATTTCAATACGGCATATATGCTGTAAAATGCACTGTATATCCCTTTGCAACACCTGAAAGCAGAAGCGATGTGCGTGCTTGTGCAGAAGCGGATGTGACAGTGAGGGACGGGAGTCAAGAGCCAGCATGTCGCAGGCATTTCCTCAACAGCGGCGTCATGTTGATAACACATGTGGGAAGGCAGGAGCATGAGATCAGGAGAGCTTTTGATGGCTGATCTTGATACTGTCTTCACCTGATAACACCGTGACCCATACAAGAATCTGTTTAGCTTATGTGGCTGAGCATTGTGGGTAATTTCAAGACATGCCCATAGAACAGAAAGAAGGAAAAAGAAATAGGAAAAAGGAGCAAGCAAAGGATAAACAGCACTTATCCTGCGTAGGAAATAAAACCATTCACTTGCTGGCTAAGAACACTTTTGAACATTCAGAAGCTACAGTCAGTTCCCAGTGATGTGCACGTTGGGTCTGTAGTTTCAAAAACTAGTCAGAGCACTCGGTATTCATTGGGGAACATTTGTAGAGTGTCAATCCAAAACAACATGTTTTTTTAAAAGGGAACCAAATCACAGCCAGATGAATAGTCCCATTAGGTGGTTTTGCATGATTTTACCTTATTAACCAACTATTGGGCATACTTTAAAATATGTATACTACCTTCCAAAGTCTGTTTGAAGATTGTCAATGTTTTTTTTCTTCTTTTTTTAGCAGCCATTAGTTTAAGTTCATTTCAAAATATGCTTTTAATTTAGCGAAATTACAATTATTGCTTATAGAGAGGCGAAGTCCCTCCCCTTCCGGTCGAGCTCCATGGGACCTTATTTCGGAAAAATTATGTATTGAAGTCAATGGACAGAGAAAGATTATCTTTCGATCCCGTTTGAATTGAGCCACAAATTACACATATGATGTTTGTCAATTTAAAAGATAAGTTTTACGACAAACTGTGACTTTTTTGACATGGAAATTATTTGTTAAGATTGACAAACATGTGTAATTCGTGGCACAATTCAAACGGGATCGAAAGATAATCTTTCTCTCCCCATTGACTTCAATACATATTTTTTCCGAAATAAGGTCCCATGGGTCGGAAGTAGATGGGCGGGACTTCACCTCTCTATAGTTAGAAGAGATTATTTGTACCTATTTTAAATCCCTTCACTAAGTGTGGAACTTGAGCAAGGATGTGATTAGCTTAGCTTAGCATTAAACTGGAAACAGGGGGAAACAGTTCTGTTCAAACCAGTTTTCAAAATGCTGATTATTTTTGCTTTTTTAGCTTTGTTTGAGGGTTCAATCCGAATCTTACATCTTGGAGTCTTTCACTATTTTAACTATGTCCCTCTTTTTAACGACATTAAAAAGACGTCAAAATGTTCAGTTTAATTTCCCTGCAGGTTGAGTTTCATGCAACACTGAAATGAAGGGAACCCAGTGGCTGCCTTGAAGGTATAACATCTATCTAAACCTGATGGTGTGTTACAGAAATATCCAGCTTTGATTTCAAGAATATGCAGTTTGTAGTTAATGATCTGAAACATGGTAAACCATCAGAGTGGCTCTCCTGTCCTAAAGCACAGCAGCACAGCTGTGTGAGAGGCTGAAAAGCTGTGTGAGGTTTGTAGATATACGCTGTTTTGGACTGACACGCTACATTTCTTTCAAACATTTTGTGGTAAGGTGATAGAAGTGAGGTGAGGTGAAAAAAGAAGGAATCATTGTTTTTACAATCAGGATTCCAATGTGGAAGCATCCGGGCTCTCCTCTGTGACCTTGCTTTGTGAACCTGAAAACAACCTGAGGACCCGCTACATTCAGAACCGCCCAAACCGAAAGCCTTCTACGAGTTTCAGCACAGAAAAGCATGCCGGCTAGGAAACATGGCCGCCCTCCGGACGTCTCTCAGTGCCTACATATTTGTATCAAAAAGGACAGCATAGCAGTGAAAAGACTAAAGAGCTGTTGTGGAGTGAACTGCAAACGTTTGGTCACTTTAGCTTGGAGCGCACTTGCAGGAGAGTGGGCTTCTGCTCCATGATGCGCACCAGCAGCGTGTCTATGTAGTCTTCCAGATCTTTGACCTGCGGCTTCAACTTCTTCAGCTCCACCTCGCGCTTCGCCAGCAGGCGTTTCTGGCGTTTAAACTCGTCCTCCTGGCGCTCCAGCTCGGCCTCCCGCTGCACCAGCAGGGCGACCAGCTCGCTGTGGTTCAGGTGGAAGTACGAGCCCGCCCCCTCCGACACAGGCTGCGGACAGACAGACAGGAAGGGGACTTAAAGGCTAACAGAGATAAAACATGTTACGTCTTTTAATTTGACTTTCAGTTGATTATATTGCCTTTTTTTTCAGCCTTAATGGCAATCAATTTAATGTCACTTACAGTTGATCTCTGTGCACCAGAGGATTTATCCCAATAATTAAGCTTTCTTACACTATATGCAAAAACTTTAGCACAATAATAAGCAAACTGGAGACAACCAGGGAGTGGAAACAAAAAGGTACTGGTGTAAAGAAAAATAGGCATAGTTTTATAAACTCTTAACCAGTACTCTTAGCATAGGTGTTAGACAGGTTTAGAAACAGGACCACAGTGGTGTAATCTATCATTGTAAAGAAATGAATTAAAGCATTTAGGTTATCAAAGTAAAAAGGAAGAATGTAATTTTACCCAAGATGTAGTAATTGTATTTATTATTTTCCACTTATTTTCAAAACCCTATCAGGATGCCTTGCCTGAAAATCAACGTTTACCAAGAAAGAAAAATAATAAAGCGATAAAATTGCAATGACACTGTTAGGTAAGCTTTTCAGTGCTTTTGAAAGCCTGCCCAGAAAGACAGTGATCAGCTTCCCAAAACTCACATTGTCCTTGAGAGGTGTTATTTAATTAATAAATAAGTTTTAATCATTGAACATGTTTGCCTCTGAAGGGCAGTATTGCAGTATTTTTCGATCTTTTTAATGAACACAAACGGTACCTTCTTCTTGTTGGTCTCCTGCTCGCTCAGCTGGCTGCTCCTCCCCGGGCTGATGGAGGACTTGAGCTTCTCGAGGCCGGTGGCCAGCACGGAGCGGCCCTCCGTCCGCTTCTCCTCCGCTGACGTGGTGGTGGTGAGGGGCTTCACTGGGTGGGGGCTGCAGCAGCACACACACACATATATGGTCAGGTATCACACTTGGTACAACAACATCTCCGTGGATTTTTAATTTTGTTTTAAAGACATCCATCAGGCTGTCTTCTTGGAGGTCCAAAGTTCTTGATATTCATGACAAAACAAAAAAGCCAATTGTCTTACAGGGATGCGTCTGAAATTATGCGGAAACATGCATTTAACTAAAAGGACTTCACTTTATTTGTTTTAGTACTAGAGGGGAAGTCAGCGTTGATTTTCATATAAAGATCCTTCTATGTGCCACTAAATAAAAGTTAAATCTGCTTGTGACGGTGGGTAAAACACAAGGCTTGTTTTAATTTAATGTATACTATAGTTTTTTGTAAATGCATTTTTGCTACACAAGTTTATATTGGGAAAAATAAATATCTATTATGTTAACATTTCCTAAATTCTCTTAAATGTTTTATTGTGACTTATTTCACTTCATCAGGCCTTATTATGCTCATGTAAAAAAATGTGAGAAGAAACACATCACATTTATTTCTATTTCGAGTTAAATAAGTGACTTACTGTTTGTCAACAAGGAGGCCCCTAACTTGTGATGAGTTGTCACAAGCAAAAGGTTGCAACTTAGCTTTTATTGTGAAAATCACACAAACAGTTTCAAATCAAAGCTGGCCAGTTAACGGAAACACCTCTCCAATAATAACACAGGAAAGACATGTTTCCTGTGTCAGTGACCTACATTTACCAGAAAATCTACCACCAACAGACAAATCATTTTACACACTGTAGTGACTCCCATTAATACAACCATCATTGTTTTCATATATATCTTTTTTAACGCATGTAATAACGTTTTAGCTGTTATTTGATCACAACATATTGTCCTCTGGACCTCCTGGCAGACATGGATGCTACACAGCACATCAACCTTTTCAAATCCCCAGAAACTGTTAATTTTAGCAATCAAGAATAAAAGGAGGTTAGGCATGTGTAAGGGTCCTCATTAAAAGGAAATACTGGTGAAAATTGAAAGATTTAATTGCATGCGTTGGTGCAATCAAACATGTAGAATTGTGCAAAATGTGTTATTACCCCGAGGAGGAAAGGAAATGCTATCAGTGACACAACAACACCTCTTTTGCTCTCATGCAAAACCTGGTTTTCTGGTTGAGATGTGTGTGTTGGGAAGGAGGGGGTGTGTGGTTAGAAACAGGGTAAAATAATAACTGCTAATTGGCCCGAGGCTCTGTTTCCCCTCCTGTTACCGCAGAGCCAGGACACACAACAACAACAAGACACCTGCAGAGGAGGTATGTGTATATATATCTCACACATACAGGCTGTATGTGTATGTGTATGTGTATGTGTATGTGTGTGTGTGTGTGTGTGTGTGTGTGTGTGTGTGTGTGTGTGTGTGTGTGTGTGTGTGTGTGTGTGTGTGTGTGAGAGTCTTAAAGTGATAAAAAAGAGAAAGTCACACCACAAAAAGAGATTTCCCGTGAGAGTCGTCGGTACAGAAGAGAAAGCAGGCGGAAGCGGCAGACGGAGACTGAAAACACCACAGGATAGAAGAATTTCTGGAAGTGGGAAAAAGTGCTTCCTGTCCACCTTTTCCCCAAGCATGTGCAACCTCACCTGTTTCTGCTGATTGGCTGCCCTGCTGCTGCCGGTGCATCTCCTCAAGCATTGCCGTGCTGGGGTGGTGATCTCGCCGTAGCGTTGTAAAGAAAAGGGAGGGAAAAGGAGCTACTACTTGAAGGAGTTAGAGAGGGAGCAAAGGAGGTCAGAGAGGGGAGGTCAGGGCTCAGAGGAGGAGCCGAGGAGGGCGCCTGTATTGCACCGGGATCGCTCCCATAGGAGGGCTGCAGGAGGTCTTCAAAGGCAGGTGTCAGTGTGCCTTCAGAGTGTGAGCGGGGTAGTGTAATACTTTGTGCCTGAGGGGATTTCGAGAACATGTCACCCAAGACGACATGCTGATATTCCACAGCTTCGTCATTGAGATTCCATGGATTATAGCTCTTGTAAAGGTCTGTTGATGCTGCAGAAAGTAAACCGAAGTTATCCTCTATCGTGAAGCTTGGTTTAAGAGTTGGTGTAGTGTCCTTGGCTCCAAAGAAAGAGCCTTCAATATTATCGAATTCCTCGTGAAATGGATGGCTTCTGGAGTCTTTTTGGTCCAAAGCAGCCTCGGGGGTTGTCTGAATCTCAATCAGATCGCCACACAGCGTTGAGTTTGCAGAGTGCAGCGTCTCGTTTTGCTCTGAGCCGCTGGAGGAAGGTTGAGACACACAGGTTTGGTAATCCTGCGAGTTGGTGCTCACATAAAGGCTTTGGAGGAAGCTGCTGGTGCTTTGATCAAACGCAGAAGTGTGCAACATGGTGTCGTGAAAGTCTTGGCTGGGACTGGTGTTGAGGAAGTCGTCAAAAAGCCCAAATGGTACAACTGAACGCTGGCTTGCATCCTGCCCTCCTAAACCAGTGCTCTCAATGGGGGAGTCAGGTGAACCGTGCCTCACATCGGGGGAGGAGGTTATGATGTGTAGTGATGGCTGTGTGGAGTACAGTTCATCATCTGGAGTCGTCACATCCGTTGTGTTTATTTCAGATATCGAGGAATCATTTAACAATTTAGAAAAGTCCTCTACAGATGTGTTCATTTCACCAATGTCTTTTCCTTTTTCATTGTCAGGCTGGAAAGAGATGTCGGATTTTGTGTGTCGTTCTGTTAACAAGTTTGAAAAGCTGGAAGCATCCTCACTCCCCGTATCTCCTGCAGGCTGCTGATGTGATATCACTGGGGACAGCGGTGCCAATGAGCCCCCTATACCGTCTAAATCAGCCTTTTCATCAGTTTCCCCGTGCTGAATAACATTGTGCTTAGCTAAATCCACTAAAGACAGATCATTGGACCGGTCAGTAGCGTCTTCTTCCGATTTTGGCGGCTTCTTTACAACAGATTCTTCTTTACTAAATCGGAGGACGCTGCTCTCAAAGTTCTGTTCTTCGGCTTCCTCCAAGGAGGATGCAGGGAATTTGCCTGAAAAAGGAGAGATACCTGACACAAAATCCTTTGCAGAGCTGTTGCCTTTCTTTCCATTCTCATTGACAGACTGTACAAATATGTTGGATTTTGTGTGTAGTTCTGGTAACAAGTCTGCTGCATCCTCACTTCCTGTCTCTCCTGCAGGCTGCTGATGTGTAAGCACTGGTGACATTGGTCCCAATGAGCCCTGTACACCGTGTAAATCTGCCTTTTCACCACCATCTCTGTGCTGAGTAACATGGTGCTGGGCTAATGACTGATCATTGGATCTGTGAACTTCTGATTCCGACGGCTTCCCTACAACAGATTCTTCTTCTTTACAAAAACCGACGATGCTTCTTTCAAAGTTCAGTTTCTCGGCTTCCTCCTTCTTGTTGATGCCTTCCTTTCCCTTTTCATTGTCAGGCTGTAAATATATTTTGGATATTGGCTGCAGTTCTGGTGAAAAGTACAAAACGTTTGGTGACTGTGTATCTGCACCCTTACTTCCTGTCTCTCCCGCAGGCTGCTGATGTGTTACCTTTGGGGACGTTGGTACCAATGAGCCCTCTATACCGTCTAAATCTGCATTTTCACCACCATCGCTGTGCTGAGTAACATTGTGCTGGGCTTCATCATCTAAAGGAAGACAGATGGACTGGTCAGTAATGTCAACTTCTGATTCTGAGGGATTCTTTGCAACAGATTCTTCTTCTTTAAAAGAGCCGAAGGTACTGCTTTCAAAGTTCTGTTTCTCGGCTTCCTCCTTGTCATTGTCGGGCTGTAACGAAATGTAGGATTTTGGCTGTAGTTCTGGTGAAAAGTATGAAAAGATTGGTGACTCACTTCTTATCTCTGTTGCTGACTGCTGATTTGTAAGCACTGTTGACATTGGTGCTAATATGCCGTCTGAATCCGTCTTTTCATCACCATCCCCATGCTTCATAACATGTTGAGACACATTGCCTAAATCCAGATTAATGGACCTGTCAGTAACGTCATCTTCTGAGTCAGAGGGCTTCCTTACAACAGATGAATCGGATGATTTCTCAAAGCCGAGGATGCTGCTTTCAAAGTTCTGTGTCTCGGCTTCCTCTGAGGATGACGCAGAGAATTTGTCTGAATAAGAAGAGACACACGAGAGGAAATCCTCTTCTGCAGAACTGCCCAGGCCTGAAGAAGTGGGATCTGGGGAGCTGCTGCTGAGCTTCACAGACGAGGCATGCCCGGGGCTGGGATGCACGTTAGTGTCAGTAACGTCATTTGTGTTAGTAGCAGCGTTAGTTTGATGAGGGTCAGTGAAAGCATCTGGTGTTGGCGAGTTAGTGGAAGTATTCAAAGTGTCATTGTCATTCTCAAAGCTGGTGTGCTCTGGGATTGTCTCGAGGAAATGTGCAAATGTGTCAAGATGATATGCGTTGGATTTCTGTGTATCAAATACAAATTCTGTGCAAGGTTGAGTATGTAGTGCATCATTCACGTTAGTGTTTTGATCCGTTATGGGTTGTAATGCTGCTTTTTCGTTGCAGTGTTCCAGTGAATGCTCACTGGGTGTGTTTTGCTGTGTTTTGCAGTCTGCGGTCAGATCCTCGGGAGACTGCAGCCTGCCAGCAGCGAACGCTTCAAAGGATTCGTCCCATTCAGGTTCCAGCTCCCCGGCAGACATAAAATGATCGGACGACTTCACGCTTAAAGGTTTCTCTTCGTATGTGGGAGGTGGAGGAAGAGGTCGTTTCTTAGCGTCGCTCTTTGTGCCAATGCTGGAGTCCTCTGCGGTTGGGTTTTCGTCGTTGAGGGTGGGGTAAGGGTTACTCGCCTGCGGAAAGAGCTGAGCTATGGGAGGCCGGGCGCTGGAGAGATAAGGCAGAGTAGGCAGCGAAGGTTTTAGGGGCTCAGCGTTAAGCATGGTGTCAAAGAAAGGGTTTTGCTGGATGAAAGATAAGAAAGGGTTGCAGGGGGACATGGGAGGTGAGGTGCTCTGTGAGAAGGGGTTAGTGTGATGCAGGGAAACCAGGGGATCGACAGGGGGACCCGGGGGGTGACTGGGTGGGAGTGGAGGGGGGTGGGGGTCAGTGCTGGGCTCTAGTTTAGGGGACACCACCAGGCTGTGAAAGGAAGGGGACACAGTCCTCGTGATTAGTGTGTATCCCTCAGGTCGACTACAGGTTTGTTTTGGTTCAAATCACATCTTAATCATACATTGATACAGAATGGCTAATATGTTAAACCCACATTATTAAATATGTATTATTCTTGCTATTCCCTTAAACACTGTTTTAATTAAGGCTTAGCAGTGTTGCTGCTTTATTGTCTGGAAAATACGTTTTAACCCGAGTTCTTTGAACTTGGAGACAGTGCAATAATCTATTAACACAATAAATACATTTTACAGCAGGACTAAATGTTGTTATTCACATTTGAAAGCTATTTCATTTTTTAATGAGGCCAAAAAAATTGATTTAATATCGGGGTTATATTTGCTGCTAGACCGCCCCCTTAATAAAGCTAAATGCTTTTTAAACAAATAATTGATTCAGCTGGGTGTAATGATGACTGTGAGGGCTGTCAAAATGTAAAGATACAGAGCTGGCAGGAAGCTATTGGGTCTACTACACTCCAGAATCGCTGACTTTGCCTCAATCAGCAGGTCCAATATTTTGTTTACGCTCAGTGCAAGGAAACATTACGATACTGTGGTGGTTTCCTTTTTGGTCCTTGTCAGGGAAATCATTCAAAAAACAAGTTAAATAGCTTATAATTGGATATATGACTTTTGAGCTGCAACGATTAGTCAACCATTTTTTTACTAATCATAAAAGTAATTTTCCATGCGAAAAATTCAGTTAAATATTGAGATTTGGTGTGTTTCTCTGTACTACTGTATATCTTATTAAATACATAACCTTGGACTCACCCTCCTGTTGTGTTCGGGTCAAATCTGACCGATTTACTGCTTTCATCAATCATAACTTTTTAGTTGTACATTCGATTGCATTAAGGCTTTATGATATCCTTCACAGTAGACATTTGAACATATACAATTGCTGATCACCACTTTCATTGAATTTTGGATGATTTAGTCAACTTTGTAACACCCATGGTGTTCCCGGTCAAAAATGACCGACATAAAGAAAAGGAATTAGTAACCATCCGGATCAGATAAAACACACACACACCCACACACACAAACACACATACTCTAGATGTGTTCCCCACCCACTTATGTGCCCAATCCCCCCATGTGAATCACACCTGGCACACACACACACACACACACACACACACACACACACACACACACACACACACACACACACACACACACACACACACCACACACACACACACACACACACACTACACACACACACACACACACACACACACACACACAACACCACACACACACCACACACACACACACACACACACACACACACACACCACACACACACACACACACACACACACACACACACACACACACACACACACACACACACACACACACACACACACACACACACACAACACACACACCACACACACACACACACACACACCACACACACACACACACACACACACACACACACACACACACACACACACACACACACACACACCCACACCACCACACACACACACACACACACCAATTTGACACATTTCCCGCTCTTATGTGCCCATCCCCCCACATGGATCACACCTGGCACACGCAATACATGTTCAGTGTCTATTCTTTGTATATTTACTGCAGTTGTTCATGTATACCAGTAGTCTGATACAATACTTACAGTTTGAAAGGGTGTTAAATGAAATTTGGTGATGATTAATGTTTTTTGTGTTAATGTAATAGCAGTTAAAACAGGACCCGGTCAAATTTGACCGCGAACACCAAAGTAATGGGGGGGAAACGAAGACAATAGGAGGGTTAAGAAACATTTTTCATTATTTTATGACAACTTATACACCATTGATCTAGAAAAGTATCTGCAGATGAATCAATATTGCAAATAATCGTTAGCTGCAGGCCTTTGAGACACAAACAGCAGCAGCGATGCACAACAGTGAGCAGTACAGGACACGCTCCAGATAAATCACCCACTAAAGAATGTGCTTGTGTAAGAAGTGGAAATAAATTGAGATGGGATTTTCTCTCCTCCTCTCTCCTTGCACACACACACACGCATTACAAATGCATTGACAAAACCCCCCCACACACACGCATCAACACACTCAAGCACGTCCTGAAAGAGAGCAAATATTGTTCACATCATCATCTTTCCATTGAAACTGACATTATCACTGAACCATGCACAAGGCTCCAGCTTGAAGGAGCACCCCCCCCCCCACCCCATCTGCATTGCAGATATGAGCTGTAACCAGAGACTGAGTCATGTCGGTACACAGGAAGTTCAAAGTAAACTATTAAATGTATAACTTTTCAAGATATTGTTTCTTCTCTGATTATAGATTCTGAGTTTAACCCATAATATCAGAAAATTGATAATATTGATGTATTTAAAAAAAAAAAGTCATGATTTTCTCCACATTGCCCAGCCAAATTATTAACTAAATATAAAATGATGATGTGAGATAAGGTTATATTCAAACCCTCTCAAAGTATACAAGTCACCAGTGGTGACATAGATACTCAGATCCAAGTAAAGGTACTAATACTTAATTGTAAAAACAACCTGGATTTAAAAGTAAAAGTCCTACATTTTAAATGTTACTTGAGTTGATTCTCATCAAAATACTGAAAGTACCAAAAGTAATAGTACTTGTAATGCATAATGGTTGGCATGTTCAAAAAATGATATGTATATTTAATTACTATGATTTGCGTAAATGCTGGTGGATATTTTGACCTATAGTTAGTTTTTAATGTTTATTTATCAGTTTTTCCCATTTTGTATTAGCTAATAATCTGAGTCTGTACATTAGGTAGTTGATGTCGTCAAATAGCTGTAGTGATGAAAAAGCATAAAGTAGCATTAATTAAATAAATAAGTATGCTAAAGTATAAATGTTATCTGATACAGGGGAATAGTGGTTCAGCAGTTGTTGACCCTCTTGACCCATAATCACCCTAAAAAGATCATTCATGATCCTATAACCCTTGGAGCTGTGTGATTCCCCTCCTCAGTGATCACAGTGTGTGTGTGTGTCTCACCTGGGTTTGCTGTTCGAGTCCTTTGATCCAAACCATCCCTTGTGTTTCTCCTCGGCGGCGGGGGCCTGTTCAGACTCATCCTTGCCCCGACTCTGCCCTTTCCCCGCAGACTCCCCCCTCCCGTGGGAGAAAAAGTTCCTCTGCTTTTTCTCAGACTCCACTGTGGAGGATGAGGATTTGATTTGAGCAGCATATCCCAATCCCTCCTCTTCCTCCTCCTCCTCCTCGTCACCCAGCATGGGGCCGCTTTTCTCCAACGCCGCCGCTATGGCTGCCTTCTCCTCCTCGTCGGGCTTGTCAAAGGACCAGCGCCGCCCGTCTCCCATGGGGCTCTTTGGGGCGGCCGAGGCAGGCCTGAGGTTCTGCAAAGACACGGAGAGAGGCAAAGACTTCTGCAGCGGCGGCAGGCCTAGAGAATCCACAGGGTTTACTGAGCCTTTGTCCAGGGGCAGGTCACTGTAAGCGTCGCCTCCGTTGACCCACGCGGTCGGAAGAGGAGGCACGATGATGGAGATCTCCCCGGCATCGTCTCCAAACTCACACTGGAGAGAGTTTGCCGTGTGCTCTGCAAAAGGGAGGTGGAGAGGAGAGAGAAACAATGCAGTTAATCAATGAACTTACTTATTTAAGAGGCTTAGTGAAGTGATAAAACCATAAAATAGCTCAGTGACAAATATTTTTACAGAGGGATGGATCAAAAGCAGACTTTCAGTAGGTGTTATAATTAGATTACATTATATTAGATGTACTTAATGATCCCAGATAGGAAACATTTTTTATGTTATAGACGCCCTATTGTGCTTTTAGGGGTTTCCCTTTCCTGTAGTGTGTTATATAGGTTTTTGTGCATGTAAATGGTCTGCAAAGGCTAAAATCCCAAAGTTCACTCCAGAGGGAGATTTTTCTGACAACCCCCCCTCACCCCCTGTCTCAAACGCCTCCATTGGCCTCCTTTGTTTACTTCCATAACATAGTAACATCACTATGCAACACTTGCGCTTCTATTGGCTAGCGCTCCAACACATTGTACGTGACAGGCTAAGGGGCGGGACATCTCTGAGCGGTTGACCAATCACAACAGATCCGGCCAGTTAACCAATCAGAGCAGACTGGCCTCTGGTTTCAGACAGAGGGTGAAAAGAGGTGCTGCAGCACAGGCAGTATGAGAAGAATAAAGAGCTTTTTGAACATTAAAGAATGTAGACATGTCACAGTAGAGGAATAACATACAAATACAGTATGAACCTGAAAATGAGCATAAAATGTCCTCTTGAATTAAGGATGTACAGTATGACTGTGGATTTGTATAATGAGTCAAATACTCTCCCCCCTCACCTGGGCTGTTGTCAGGGGACAGGTTGCTGCTGTTGCTAGGGGAGTTGGAGAGGTCGGACACCACCATGCTGATGCCGGCGGTGGGGCTCAGACTGCCCCCCCGGGACGACTCGCTGCTCTCTGAGCCCAGCGACGTGCTGGAGCGAGTGTCCGAGGACTTCCTCAGCTTCCCCCTCAGGAAGAAAGTCCTCATCTTGCTGCGCCGGGCCTCCCCTCCCTCGTCGTCCTCGTAGTCTTCCTCCCCGCCTCCGTCGCTCGGGAGTCGCTGCCTCATCCGGTGCAGGGAGCCGTATCCACTCGGCAGCACAGCTGAGGAAGAGTCTTCCTCGCTGGATCTCCTCTTCCCCTTGATGCGCTCCTTCAGCTTTCCGAAGGTGGAGGCGCTCTTGTCCGTCATGACCAGGTCGTACATGCTGGCCGTCAGGTTGTTTCTGGTGAACTGCACGGTGGCTTGGATTTCTCCTCGCTCCTTCTCCTTCTTCCCCGACTTAGAGTTTAACTTGTACCACCTGTAACAGAGGAAAATACAAACATGAGATTAACAGAAAACATTGGAAGAATTAGGATCAGGTAAGTAGCTTTTAAAACAAATTTGCTTTAATGAAAATGTATAAACCTACAGCAACAAGTTCACACTTGTCCTCTTGGAGGTAGAGCTGCAATGAATACATTGACAGACAAATATTTGCCAACCTTTTAAATAAATAAAGCTGACTATTGCCAATTATGAAATATGCAGAAGTGGAAACAGTTCAATAATATATTAAACTGAATATCTTTGGGTTTTAGACTGAAAAAACAAGACATTTAAAGACATTATTTTGGACTTTGAGTGAGAGGGATTGGACATTTTTCACAATTTATTTACTAAAACAATTAATCTAGAAAATAATCATCACAGATTCTTTGATAATGACAAAATCGTTAGTTGCTGCCTCAGTCACAGTTCAATAATAAAAAAAGGAGGTGTTAAAGAACATTTCCAGTGTGGGAAAAGTATTAAATATAGTACAAGTGTAATAATATTTTTTACAAATAAACAACTTATAGCAGGGTGTACAAAAAAACACTTCACAGAATTATTATCTGTGTTAGCATTGAATAAATAAATTATCATATTGTACTGTTATCATGAATGGGGTTAATCAGTCGTGTGTGTGTGTGTGTGTGTGTGTGTGTGTGTGTGTGTGTGTGTGTGTGTGTGTGTGTGTGTGTGTGTGTGTGTGTGTGTGTGTGTGTGTGTGTGTGTGTGTGTGTGTGTGTGTGTGTGTGTGTGTGTGTGTGTGTGTGTGTGTGTGTGTGTGTGTGTGTGTGTGTGTGTGTAACTACACCACACAACTGTTTGTGGCCAGACATCCAACAATACCCAGGGGAGGTTTGTTTTATTTTCAGTGACTGGGTAAGAAAGAACAATGAAGTTAAACAATGCTCATGTCTTATTGAAAATGAGTGATTGTCCGACATAAAAACCAACAGTTTGCCCCCAACTCCCACTCTGGACGGGCACCGAGGAGCACTTCTTAGAAACGCTGTCACCCGTGGGCGTTACAGCGCCAACAAGGTCACCGCACCGTGACTCATGGGAAAGTCTCATCTGTTCGGTTATAGAGAATAAAATGAGTGAGAAAAAGTCCCCCAGTTAACATTTGTTTCTGACACGGCATGTTGCCAACGAGCGCAGAGAGCAAGGCTGAAAACTTGGTCTGAAACCACAACCTGCTTTTATTTTTTCACTTCCTGTGCTGCAAGGCTATTTTCACCTCACACCTCAACCACGATGCATTTCTCTATTTGTTCATAAATGAGAGGCTGAGTGACACATATCTGCCCAAATAGCACAACTCTGTGTGTACATAGTTCCAGTTTAAACAGTTTTTGCTCCAAAATGGATCGGTTTACGGAAACAATATCTAATGTATTAGTGAAAAACCCAGTGAAATGTAAATATGGAGCAAATAATATAGCCTTGCAATTTTTGCGATAGAAAAAATATAGAACAATTAAAAAAGATTGTCATTTTTAAACCATTTGAAGATGTATATCGCCATGTTACTCGGCCATAAAGTTATATTTCTTTATAATATGTGTATTGTATGCACCACCATACACCAAGCCAGATTCCTTGTAATGAATTATCTACATGGCAATAATGAAACTTTATTGTGATTTTCTTTAAATCAATTAAAAGCAAATAAATGGCGCTACATTCTTAAAAGATAAGTGAAACTGTGTCAACGCACAAATATATTACAGGATGAGTGAGATGTACATTTGCTTGATGAAATGGGAAAAGGTCTGTTAAGTCAACAAGAAAATCAAATGTGAAACGAAAGAAGAGCCAGAAAAACAAAGGTTTAAAACTCAAAGACAAGACTTGAAAGCTGCAACATGAAAGAAGACAAGAAACCAGGCCACGGATGTGAAGCAACCTCACACTTTAACTTCACAGCCTTCTTAGAAACCAGAGAGCTTTTTATTTCGCCTCAAAAACATTTCCTCCTTTTTTTCTGTAAACCTGAAGGGTGACTACACATAAACTCGGCAACACTACAATGGGGGAAAACCCAAACACATAAAGGCGTCAGATATTCTCTGTAGGGCTGCAAAGGACATTAATTTCATTATTGATTCATGTATATCGATTTAAGATTAAAAAATGGCCAAAAGACCAACAGAGCCAAACATGACGTCCTAACACCAAACAATATTTAGCTTAAAATGAATTATGTTTAGTTTGAAAACCAGACATTTAAAACAATTCCATGAAAACAAATCATGACAATACTGGATTTATGATGGGAAAAATCTAGCTTTTGTTATCATGTAAAATATAGTTAGCATCAAACTTTTAGCATATTAGCCAGAATATTACAAGTTAGCCTGCTAATGTGCTATTGTTGTCATATATCTTGTTGGTATGCTATGTTAGCAAACTGTTAGCAATAATCTCTAACTACATGTGTACTTAATAGTTTTCTTGCCACGAAGAAGATTGGTTTTGCATTACATTGTATTGGAACTGTAGATTTGAATTAGTTCTTGGATTAGCTTTAAAAGTTAGAATTTATACAACCAAATAATTTTACATTCATTCAGAGCAACTAAAAAAAATGTTGAGTGGCCTTAACCTATTTTGGATATTGGTCATCAAGCATGCATATTGACAAAAGATGCAGCTGATGTATCTCTTCCTCATTACATAATCTATATAATGATAATTCAATGTTTAACATGTTGTAAAGTTGTAAGTAGCAGTAATCCTGTAATATAGCTTCAATTGAAAGGATCTGGATTCATGAGACCTATAATGTGATGTATTGTGCAGGTCCCTCCATTAAAGAGGCTGTTGTTAAATTGCAGGCTGTTTTTAATATTATTCAGACGCAGCTCTCTGAGCTTAAGCTTATTTTAAATGTTGATAAAACTAAGGTAATGCTTTTTTCCACTTTGGATATTGTTACTACGCAAGGACAAGTACTTGAAGTGGTTACCTGTTATAAATACCTTGGTATCTGGCTTGATGATTGCCTCTCTTTTAAACTTCAGGTCAATAATCTGCTTAGAAAGCTGAGGGTGAAGCTAGGTTTCTTTTACAGGAACAAGTCCTGTTTCTCACTTGAGGCCAGGAAAAGGCTAGTCACTGTGACCTTTTTACCTGTGGTGATTTGATCTATATGAATGCACCTGCCCTACCTGATCAAGTTAGATGCCGCCTATCACAGTGCACTGAGATTTGTGACTAACTGTAAAGTATTAACTCATCACTGTACCCTGTATGCCAGGGCAGGTTTGCCTTCACTAACTGTACGGAGACTGAGTCACTGGTACATTTTCATCTACAAAGCCATGTTGGATAAACTACCACCTTACATCTGCTCTCTGATCACACGGCGAATTGAAAGTAGCTACTGCCTGAGATCTCATGATGTGGTTTTGTTAAATGTGCCAAGTGCTAGGACTGACTTAGGGACCTAAAGCTTTTAGGTGCGCAACTCCTCTAACTTGGAACAGTCTGCAAAAAGAATGGAAACTGAGCAATTTGGTTCCACTAAATGTTTTTAAAGCTCGGAGAGATGCTATGCAATCGGATACTGTTGGTACCTGTAAATGTCGTTAGGTATGTACATTGTAATCCCTGTAACTATGCTGTCCTTTTTGTTTTTCTGTTGTTTTATATTTTATATCTTCATGTGGAACCTACTTGCAGCAGGTCTCCCTTGAGAAAGAGATCGATGATCTCAATGGGATTCACCTGCTTAAATAAAGGAAAGAAATACAAATAAAAAATAAACTCAGTGCCCTTATTTTCATTGTTTTAGTTCTATTCTAACATGCAAGTTATTTGTTTTCATCGGAAAAGAGACAGGAACGTTTTCCTTCTCTAGGATAAACATGGGTGTAATTGTAGGCTGCAGAGTGGGGGAAAAACACTGGTCGTATAATTCACAGCACAGGCTGTTATGTAATCCTCATCATCCTGCCTTCGACCTCAAGTTCAGCCCTGAAAACAAGGCTAACACCCAAGACAAGTGGCAGTGAAAACAATTAGCAGACAAACTCCTTTCAGAACAAACTGCAAATAACAAGAAGGTGGAGTCCGGAGCACCGAAGAGAAAGAGAGGAATGCCAATGCTTTTTATAGCTCCACAGGAACAACAAACATTACATTGCTCATAAATGGACAACAATAGAAATATGCAGACACTGGAAAGTTCTTTAACTAATCCCATCATACACACACACACTTTAAAAAGATGTAGGGAGATGTTTAAACTGTGGCATTTGCATACAAATCAATCAGAATTATAATAATCCAGATGTTTACTTTGGAGTCAAATCCTGTTACCGGATTATCAAACTGCATGTGAACAAATTAAATCTGAGCATGTTGTGCCTTCTTCTTAATGTGGGCGGAGGCATGTAAAAAACATAAAGACTTTGAGTAGGCTCTTTCTCAAGTGTCTAAAATTGTAAACCAGTGCTTCTACCTCGCATACCTCACTGTTAGGTGTGGACTCCAGTTTCACATTGATGCTTCAACAACAGTATCAGTGCTGATCCTGATTCAACGGCCAACTCCCTGCAGCCAAAGGTGGGGCTCAAATTCCAAACACAGGACCTGGGCACTATGTAAGGGTTTTTCTTTTGCAGACGTACAGCTACTACGACCATCACCATACCGTCGACCATGCAGGGATTGTAATCTAGGCTACTGTGTAATGACAATTTCATGTTTCCAATGTCTGTCAATGTTTTACAGTTGCCATTAATACGCAGTAAGGTTGAAGTGATTGTACGCAAACACAGTATGACAGACATGCTGTCGTTATATGCAGTTCAGTTAATGTGTTAATAAGCATTTGTACATAGATACAAACGTACCAGGTTTTCTTAATTCTGGAAGTTGTAGCAACGTTTCAGTCTGTCGGTTTGTCAGCGCTTCCTCGATCTGTTCCCTGCTTTCGCTGTCACCAATGCCCCCATATATACATCCATTTGCATCTAATGA